ATTTGCCTCTGATGATTCAAACGCGAGTTTTGAGCAGTTTAGAGTAGCGCTTGTTGTTTGTCATTTCTTCGTTCACAAATGTAGACATGGTTTTATGTTTATGCGGCGCGATGCAACGCAACGCAAAAAGACAATATAAGTCATTATAATCCGTAACTATGTCCCCACTGGCAACAAATGCCTCGTTTATAATGGGTTTTAATGTTTTTGTCTCGTCGCTCCATCACAGTATGGTGAGGGGCGTAACATTTCTATCACACGCTTGAGGTATTCGGCCAATCACAACGCACTGGATAGCTGGCCAATCACAGCACACCTCACTTTTCAGACCGATGAGCTTTGTAAAAATCGACTCGTTTCAGAAAGGCGGGGCATAGAGGAGAAACAATAATGTACAGTATGTGGAAAATAATGTGTTTTTTGAACCTTAAACCACATAAACATTTCATTACACCAAATACACAAAATAATGTTCTTTATGGCAACATCATATGACCCCTTTAATCAGTATTTTTTCCCTGTTTTCCAGTACAAATATATAAACATTCATAATTCAAGATTTAGACTTAAGATATTGCATCTTATTTACTGATATATCTGTCAATGAGGCAAGAAAAATAAACTTAAATTATTTTTCTGACCCAATTGAGAGAGATTTTTTATTTTGATACATTTTTCAGAAAACAATACTTCTTATTTAATGTCATTTTGCTTTTCAAGTAAATGTCCCTCGATTTAGGAATGTTTAGATATTTGTACTGGAAAACAAGACAAAAATACTGAGCAAAAAAATTTTTTTTGCATTGACTGTTGCACTCTATTCCATGCATACAGAAAATCCACACACTGCACAGAGAATACATACTATATCATGCAAAAATAGCATGCATAGTATTGTAGCCTGCACTTATATTGAAGTCTCGACTGGAAGCTATTTATTTCTGGTCCAGTCGAGCTTTCAAAACCACTTACAGTGATGATCTAATGAAACAAATAAAAACAAGAGCTGTCCGTCTTAAAGAGCGTCTGAAGACCGACTGTAAGAGATGTACTGTTAGACGGGGACGAGGACGCTGGCTCAGACGGTCAAACTAAATAAAATCTGACTTCCAACGGTGTTGTCTGGGTCTCAGAGTGAAATCCAAAGGGATTCTGGGATGTTTTCCGTGTCAGTTCCTCCAGGGCTCGACAGTGTGAGCATTTCTCTCGCATTTGTGGCAAAAATAGATGTGTGCAAATTGTAAAATGTATTTAGGAGCATGTCTGTGAATAAAAAAGTCTCTGTGGGTCCTTAAAAAGTCTTAAATATCATAAATGCTTTAACAAATGTCTTAATTATCAATTGAAGAGGTCTTAACTGTAGGTATGGAAAAAGAGGAATTGTGAAACGGCCTAACATGATTATTATATTTCAAAAAAACGATGATCTCATTAAATAAATGCTATCAATTAATTCCTCACATTTTTAGGCTAATAAATCACTTATGATCTACTGCTGATGAATTATGACAATGTTTAATATTTTTGAATGAACAGCCGGACATTTCAAAATAAGAGTCCTGGTGTATTTCAGGCTTGTTTGCATATAATTAAAAGCCCACATTATGCAAGTTTTCTTTCGCCCTGGTTATTATTGGAGTTTTGGTTACACTATATATGTGGGTATATATTGGGTGCCATCAGAATGAGAGTCCAAACAGCTGATAAAATCATCACAATAATCCACAAGTAATCCACAGCACTCCAGTCCATCAGTTAACATCTGGAGAAGACAAAAGCTGAAACAAATCCAGCATTAAGACGGTTTTATCTTCAAACCGTTGCTTCCTGCTAAAATACAAGTCCATAATTTATAATAACACTTCCTCCAGTCAAGTCAAGCCACCTTTATTTGTATAGCGCTTTATACAATACTGATTGTGTCAAAGCAGCTTTACAGAGTCAAACAGGAAAATAGTTTGTCAATAATGCAAGAAGACAATAACAAAAGTTCATTGATGATTCAGTGATGTCATCATCCAGTTCAGCTCCCTTCCAACAGTGTCTGTGCAATCAGTCAAGCGTCCCCAATTTAGCAAGCCTAAGGCGACGGTGGCAAGGAACCAAAACTCCATCGGTGACAGAAATGGAGAAAAACCTTGGGAGAAACCAGGCTCCGTCGGGGGGCCAGTTCTCCTCTGGAAACCAGCATGGCGTGGTTTAATTCCAGGCGGCAACACAGACCAGATTGTGCTGTTCTCCAGTGAGAAATTTCATCTCCTGTTGTCTCTCAAATCAAAATCCAGCCACATATTTGTTTAGAGCTGTTTTGGCTTGCAAACATGTGCTTGATCTGTGCAGATTTCTCTCCTGATTCAGCTGTGGATTACTTGTGGGATGTTTTTATCAGCTGCTTGGACTCTCATTCTGACGGCACCCATTCACTTGCAGTGAGCAAGTGATGCAATGCTACATTTCTCCAAATCTGATGAAGAAACAAACTCATCTACATCTGGGATGACCTGAGGGTGAGTAGATTTTCAGCAAATATTAATTTTAGGGTGAACTGTTCCTTTAAGATTTCGAACGCGCTCACCTGTCTCCCTCCTCGGCGGTGGACGTCTTCTCCTCCTGCTCCTGTGGTGACGTGGTGCTGACGGCGCTGCGGGCGGGGCTGCTGTCGGCGGAGGCACTGGTCGTGGTGGCGGTGGGCGGAGCCGTGTTGGTGTTCTGCTTGAGGGTCTGTAGTTTGGCAAGGGGGATGATGTCACAGCTGTGTGGGCGGTGCCAGACGGTGCACTGGGTAGAAGCGTTGTAGTAGTAGAATCGGGACGTTTTGGAGTCGAAAAGCTCCCACCACTGATCCTGTCCGCTATGCTTGATCTGCACGCCCGCCGGGGCGTCCCAAACGCACTCGCCCGTCAGCAAGTTGGCGTACATGCGCTCCCGAGTGCGCGGCTCAATGATTTCCACCCATTCCAACCTAAAAACATACAGAAACATGCTTTACACTCAGTAAGGAGCGGAAGCGCTCGGCTGTGGCATAATAAAAGCTCCGCTGCTTTCGAGCCGTGTGTCGCGCTAATCTCTCATTAGCAATTGCTTCAGCGGCCTCGTTTCGCTTCAACGGCTTTCAGCCTCACTCTGCTTCATACTACGATGTTAATAAGTCTTTAATACATTAGTTCATCCATGAACATGATTTCTGCCCGAGTCCCGTCGGATTGCGTCGGCTGTGGGGATGAAGACCACAACTCCCATGATTCCACACTCAGTCACAGCGTCATCAAACTACGCCTTTGTTTCTTTGTTTGTTTTGAATACGCGCCCTCTAGCGGCGAAAACTTACATATTGTGCCTTTAATGGATCACACAAAAAAGTTTTTTGCTGAAAGAAAATGAAGCCTACTTTTCAAACAGAAATATTTTAAGAATTATGGCATAATTCTATATATTTTTATATATTTTATACAATTGTGGGATTGCTACTGTAATGCAAAAGAAAATAAAGATATATAAAAATGAAAAATAAAATCATTCTAATGAAAATTAAACATTTTTCTCTACAAAATTCTGAAATTCTGTAAAAGAAATATTTAATATATTAAATTTATATATACAAACCACAGTCTATGACACAAACACATTTTCTCTCCAAAATTCTGTAAAAAATAAATTAATAAATATAAAGTTCTTTTAAAAAATATATTACATTTTTACTGTCATTAAATTAGTCACAATCTAAAAAAAAATTAAAAATGCAAAAATTTTCTTTATGCAAAATAAAAAATACATATATATAGTATTCAGGTTTTGGAGTAAATATGACTGATGATTATATGTTTTTGTGAGATGCACCCATATATGGAAAGTAATGATGTCAGAGAGAGGATTACAGTCATATATAGAGTCGTCATGATTTTTCGTATGAGTCATGTATTACAGTGTGTGTGTGTGTGTGTGTGTGTGTGAGATATACAACATAAGCAGCAAAATCCCAACAGGCTGAGACATGCTCGTTTCATAAGATCTCTGTGCATTTGTTTACATTTTTAATAATTTAAAAGCCTGAATAAAAATCTTATGAAGCGTAAATATAAAAGCTAAAAAGATTTTAATATTTTCTAAAGAAAATGTTGTGGTGGTGTTGCTGAACAAGACGCATGATTTGAGAAAGCATCCATATCTGAAGCACAAATGCTGCAGAATTTGGCAAAAACTGCTAATTCTAAATAATGCAAAAGGTCTACACGTTCAAAAACTGAAACAAAGACGTTTCGCCGCTACAGGCTGCGTGTTTATCTGTGTTCAGATGTTATTTTCATTGTATATGCACACACTATATGTGCACGTGTGTGTGATAATCAGCTCCGTTAATCCCATAGTAAATTTCTTCTGATCCTTTAATCAAATCTAATCTGCTCTAATTCAGGATAACCTGATCGCTCAAATCCTGCTGAAAGCATTTTTGGGAAGCTGGTCAGAGGGGACGCTGGGTAATTTGATCTGTCTGGATCTTCCATCTGAATGTGCTGAAGCATTTGATCAGAATGCACTCCTCAGGATTTCAATATGTTCAGCTAATGGATCTTCATAAACGTGTTATTCAGGAGGTATATTCATAAGAGAAGTGCTCGAGACTCAATTTTCTGGAGATCACGGTTACAGTGCAATACTAGAGCACTGCTCACTGCCTAGTGTGTACTATATAGTGCCTGCTATTAAAAAAAGCATTTAAAACCATTAGTTCACTGAATGGCGTCTAGTCATCATCCTAGATTTTAAAAGAAATTAATACTTTTATTCAGCAAGGATGCATTAAAAGCTGTTCTTTTGAACTGTCCATTCATCAAATAATCCTGAAAAATAAAATGCATCATGGTTTACACAAAAATATAAAGCAGCACAATTATTTTCAATATTGATAATAATCAGAAATGTTTCTTGAGCAGCAAATCAGCATATTAGAATGATTTCTGAAGATCATGTGACACTGAAGACTGGAGTAATGTTGCTGAAAATTCAGCTTTGATCACAGAAATAAATTACATTTTAACATATATTTACATAGACAACAGTTATTTTAAATTATAATATTATTTTACAATTTTTACTTTATTTTTGATCAAATGGATGCAGCCTTGGTGAGCAGAAGAGACTTCTTTCAGAAACATTAAAAAGTCTTACATACCCCAAACTTTTGTAGTAATATAAATATGGCAATTTATTGCATTTATTAATTTAAAAAATATATATTTTCATTACTAGAAATAAAATAAATGTTTAGTGAAATGAAATAATTTTTTTAAAAATAAAAAATAATTATCTTCCAATAAAGGAAAGGAAAAAAAAACTTGGTTTCTCTTTGAATTAAGATTATTTTTCTGACCCCACTGACAGATATTTGCTCTTGTTTTATGCAAAAACTCACTTCATTTGAATTTTTCAGGAAAAATAGTAGAAGAATCAGAATCAGAATTAGCTTTATTCACCAAGTAATATTATAAAATAATATCTTAAGTCTTTCTGCTTCTCTTGATTGTTAGATATTTGTACTGGAAAACAAGACAAAAAAATACTGAGTAAGAAAATCTTTTTTTTGCAGTGTAGCCTGATGAAAGGAGTTTACTGAATGGTAATGTTAGTAATGGTTTGATGACTGATGGTGCGGGTGGAGTCGAGCAGATGCACTGCTATTGATTGACAGGCTTTCTGCTGCAGTGCTGTTAACAGCCGCCATCTGCAGCAATCACTGACCGCGCTTTACCAAGTGCCACTAATCATGCAGCTGGATTTAAAGCTGTCGCTCAGAGCATTCACCACCGACCACAGAACCGCAGCAGGTGAAATCACAGAGAATAAAACGCAACACCTACTATAACAGTGACAGAAAATGCATATTAAAGAGCAATTATTCAAGTCAGATCGAGCACACTTACATCAAAAGAGCACATTTGCATTGCTAAAAATGACTCAAACGCTTCAGCCGAATGTATTCCTGAGACGGAAGGTCAAAGGTCACATTGTGACCATCACTACAATCCTCTCGTCAGTCTATTAACCTCTACAGCTTGTTTCTATCCATTCTTCTATCTACGACCTGCCCTTTACCTCTCTCACCGAATCTATATATAGAGATCTTCATCTCTACAGATAAACAAGAGCACAGGGATTTAATGTGACGAAAACCCTCTGCAAATGACAGTCAGAGTTCATCTGATAACACACAGATACAAAAAAAGAGTTAAAGGGATAGTTCACCCAAAAATGAAAATTTGCTGTTAATTTACTCACCCTCAGTCCATCCAAGATGTAGGTGACTTTTCTCTGCAGTAGAACAGTATAGAAGATTTTTAGCTGAAACTGTGGTCATTGGTGATTCATAAAATGCAAGTCAATGGCTACCGTCACTTTGAGAGTCAAAAAAGCACATACAAGCAACACAACATTAATCCCCGCGACTCCTGACGATATATTGAGGACTTATGAAGCGAAACGATCAGTCTGTGCAAGAAACTGAACATTATTTACAACTTTATTACCTGTAATCCAGAGCCTCAGGCAAACGATCCAGAGTGATGTCCGGTTCACGAACGAATCATTCCTTTGAACTGATTCTTTTTAGTGAACTAGTTTAACCAGTTCACCAAATCGGACAGAAGTGTCTGAAACAGCACAGATCTACAAGTTACTCAATCAAAACTCACTTTCAGACGCCTGACAGTCACTTCGACCCAAAATGGTCCAAAATAGCAGCGTATCTGATTCAATGATGAATGAATCATTCAGTGCTCCAGTTCTTCCAAAAGTCACTAAACTGAGGAAACAGTTTGACTCGAACCGAAGACCGATGAGCCGCTGATATGAGCATGTGTGAACCGAACACTTGAATGAAGGGGCGTAATGAACATTTTCATGCTTTCTCATGGTTTATGTAAAAAGGTGAGCTGGTGAAGACTAATTTATTCACTTTATATGCTTTAGACATGTAAAACATCCACATTTCACATCATTATTGGGTGATTTAATAATATAATTGCGTATACGTGACGTCATTGAAAAATTAATGAATTGAACCAGTTCATTGAAACGAACTGTCTGAAAGAGCCAGTTCAGAATCGAACTGAATCTAAAAGAATCGTATTTCCTGTTTGCCTGAGGCTCTGGATTCAGATCAGACTGATCATTTCGTATCATAAGACCTCAATATATCGTCAGGAGCCATGCATATTAATTTTGTGTTTCTTGATAGGCTCTTTTTTAATTCTCAAAAACCGGTAGCCATTGCCTTGCATTTTATGAATCACCAAGCACCACAGTTTCAGCTAAAAATCTTCTTTACTGTTCTAATGAAGAAGAAAGTAAATTAACAGCAAATTTAAATTTTTGGGTGAACTATCCCTTTAAAAGAGGGCAAATTGCACTGACTTGAGAATCATAATTCATGACTTAAAAGCCTCGGAGCTCATGGTGAACCTTGAGAGGTTAATACGACATACAAAATCAATTTCTCAGTGGAGACAATGAATGGGATTTTACCTCTGCAACCCAACTGTTGCTCTCAACGGCCCCTTTAAAGACAATGACAGAAAGAACAAGGAGGATTCAGAGAAAAGGAAACATTAAAGATGACTAAAGGAAACACAGAGAGAGAGAGACAGAGAGAGAGAGAGAGACAATCCTCAGTGAAGTGCGACGGCTGCTATCAGACCCATAATTCTCCATGTTCTTCACTAACACGCGTCACCTTGGCCGCAAACCTCATTCTAAAGACTGCACACTGTTATTAAAGGGGTCATATGATGCGATTTCGATTTTTCCTTTCTCTTTGAAGTGTTACAAGCGCTTGGTGCATAAAGAAGATCTGTAAAGTTGCAAAGACTAAAGTCTCAATTCCAAAGAGATATTCTTTATAAAAGTTAAGAGTCAACCACGCCTACCTAAAACGGCTCGTTCTAACACGCCCCCACATATCTACGTCAC